GGGGTAGGGCGAGGTAGAAATACTCGAATAAATAAATAAAATAAATAAATAAATAAACAGACTGCAGGACAACATTCAGTTCCACTGTGCCAGTGCTGAAAGGCTTTGTGTGCCTTCCTGATCACAGTGTTTTGTGACGCTGCATCGGTCATCCCTTATTCTTAAAGCGAGGACTGGGCAGTCTCCGAGCCCACCCGACTCTCCCCCACAGACTCGCAAACCCTACTGAGCCCCTCAGCAGGGTCAACACCCCGCCACAGTTTAAGGCTCAGAAGATACAGGCCATCATTTAGAAGTACCCAGGACTTTCTTTGTATTCTTACTAAAATACCAACGGTTTTAGACAGATATATCTAATGCTGCAGCTCTAAAACACACATTTTCAAAAAATCCAGTAAAACCAAAGAAAGCACCGGCAAACAGAACTGGCTCACATGTGTTCGGCAAAGGCAAACATGAACTGCTGTGTCCTCCAGAGCTACCTACTGGCCTGCGTCTCAGCTGCAATTCCACAGTCACAGTCTGGGCCAAGACATGGGCCTCAAACAGCGCAAGCCTAAACAGATGTTCTTGCAAGACTGCCAGCCCCCCCACCCCCATGCCCCTGCCTCATGCTTTCCATCACCACTCAGACTGACAGAGAGTTAATCTTTTTCAAAAATTGGCCACCAGGCTAATGGCATGTTGTCACTCAGTCTTCTCTAAGAATAACCAGGAGCTCTATGGTTTTATCACAAAGCTTCCAGGGATTCCTAGATAGGTGTGATGTCATTTCCATCACTGAAGGCTGCCCGCCCCAAGCAGCTGGCAGCAATTCTGAGGAGAAAATGATGCAAGAGGAAAAAAGCACAGACACACACACCACTTGCTCAGGTCTTTTGCTTACCAATGCAACCTCCCAATGCTGTTTTCTTCTTTATAAAAAAAAAAAACTGCAGTGGGACAAAATGACATGCGACTCTTCTTCACGGACTCTAGGGAGGGGCTGTGGCTCAGTGGAAGAGCCTCTGCTTTGTATGCAGGAAGTCCTGGGTTCAATCCCTGGCATCTCCAGTGAAAAGAGGAGGCTGAAGTTGGTTCCTTATTCGCACTTCCTTATTCGTTACTTATTCGTGTAGTCATTCAGAGACACTAAGGAGAGTGAGTTTGAAAGCTCTGAACCCCAAAATAAGATCCGGACCACCACATATCATATGCCCTCACATTCACAGGACTCTCCCCTTCGAGAGGACATATGCTGTATCCTGGTCCAAAGCACAGTTCTGGTGCCAGCTGCTCCAAAGTGCAGTGCCCCTAGGACAATCACACAAGCAGACACTGGGGCCAGGCTGCACCCCAAAATAATCTTTGGACCATCCCAAAGGACCCATCCCCACGCTCTGGAGACTGTGCCCTGCAAGGTGACATAAAGTGATGCCCAGTCCAAACACCGGTTCTGATGCCATGAGCTTCTGTTCGCAGGGCTTCCCCGAGGCCTGCATTTCATTTTTTTAAATTTTTTTTATTGTTTTATTTCATAAAACATATCCAACACCAACACCACCCATGTGCGACTTCCAGGCAATAGAGACATAAATAAAATTCCATACAGTATTATATCACAATCAATCTCAATACAACTCTATTACTCTATTGACCTTCCATCTTAATCTTATAATCAAATTAACCTCTCAATTTCCTATTAACTGACTAATCACCCCAAATTTTTTAAACTTTCCCAAATACCCCGCCATCCTTCTAAACCAGTCCTCCTCCTGTTCCTTAACCTTTAACCCATTCATTCTATGTATCTTCATTGTAAGATACTCTAAAATTATTATATTATTCATTTTTCCCTCCAATGATTAATCGTCAGTTCCTCAGCTTCTTTCCAATTCCTTGCTATCACTTGTCTTGCTGCTACTAACATCAAATTTATCCATTTACATTCCTCTTTTAACCTTAACCCTATACCATCCAAACTAATAAGTGCCATTGCTTTAGATATTCTTACCCTTCTTCCCACAATCCCCGACATTTCTATACCAATCTGATCCCAAAATTTCTTTACCAAAGGACAATCCCACCACATATGACTGAACGTTCCCACCTCTCCACATTTCCTCCAACAATTTTTACTTCCCGATTTTGAAATATAGCTCAGCTTAACAGGTGTGTAATACCATTTCTGTATCATCTTCAAACCCTGCTCCTGTATTAACCTAGATGTTGTGACAAAAGGAGGTAACCTACAAATCCTATCCCACTCTTCATCCAAAATTTTACCTTGAATATGTTTCTTGGTGATTTCACTATGCCTAATAACACCATATACAATTTTGAAACTATTTTTGCCTTATCTTCTCCATATTATTTCACCAATTTTTCAAAGGGAGTAGTAATTCTTTTCCCAATATGATTAATTTCTTCTTCCTTCAACAATGAGGAAATCTGACTTTTTTGCAACCAATTCATCTTATTCAAAACAATATTCTCTTCTTCTCTCATCGCGTCTGTTCCCCATATCTTTTTCAACTCTTTAATCGTAATCTTCTTTAATTTATCCCCTACCTCCTTTGACATTGATCCCCTTAATGGGGTGAATTTATCATAATACCACATTTTGGTAAGAGGTGATATCCCCGGAGTAAGCTCTTTTTTCCACTTC